CCCGCCGCCCTCCGCCCCCGCCCGGCCGCCGGCCCCGCTGTCCTCGCGCTCGCAGACTGAGGGCTCTACTCGGCTTTCTCCAGCCTGGCTCAGGACCCCGCAGCTGGCAAAGGAGACACGTGAGCGAAGCAAAACAGAGCCTACATGTAGGAGAAGCTGGGGTACCGTTTTACTGAAATTCGCCAATTTAGGGATAGCCTGGCCTTTGGATTGACAATACTCTGTTAGAACAGAGTTTTGCCCATATCCGCCCCCGCCCCCCATTGTGATGATTTGCGTCTGGGGATGAGAATTAGGCGACCTAACCTTGGTGGGGAGCCCTGGTGGCACAGTGGTTAAGAGCTCAACTGCTAACCAAAAGGTTGCCAGTTTGAATCCACCAGCCGCTTCTTGGAAACCCTGTGGGACAGTTCTACTCTGTCCAATAGCATCGCTATCAGTCGAAAACAACTCCACGGCAACAGGGTTTTTTTAACCGTGGTGGGTTGACTAAATCAGTCTGGGTCCTAACATCTGCCACCACTACCACCACTGCCCACCCCCGCCAGTCCACATATTCCTTTTCCTGTTCCTAGGGCCTTTCCTCACCCTATTTATTTCCCTGACAAAAGTAACAAAGTCTGGATCTTAATTTTTGAAACCGTCCTACCCTTGCGCAGCGTCTTCGCCTCTCAGCCCCAGCCGGTTCACAAGTCTCCCTGTGGTCTCTCCAAACTCCAGCTTCGGCTAGATGCCAATCCCACCGTTTAAAAGCAGCCCTCAGCCTCAACAGCTTTCCTTTCTTTTGCTGTCCGGAAGCAACCCTCAGCATAAGTGGTGATGTGCATAAAGATGTTCTGAACAGCTCCAAGTGTATGCCTGTGTTTTGTAAATTAGGAAATTTAAAGATATACAGAAAATATTAACACACCCCTTTCTATCAAGATTAAACACAGAACATTTTGCCCCATTTACTTGTGATTTATTAAAGAAATATATTAGACATAACTAAAGCCCCACCCCTTATTTTCCCTCCTTCCTCCCCCGAGATAGTTACTATGCTCAAGTTAATGTATATCATTCCCGTTCATGTTTGTATACTTCCATTACATATGATGTGTATATCCAAAAACTACATAAGGAATACCAAATTTTGTGTTTTTAAACTTTACAAAAAGGACATCATGCTGAAGAATCTTTTTTGCAGCATTTTCATTCACTATTATGTTTTTGAGGTTTATTTGTGTTGATTAATTTGTTTTAACTACTGTATAATAATAATTCACTATGTTTTGGGGTTTGTTTTTGCATGTCTCTCATATACAGCATATAACTGTTTTATTAATTATAATTATGGTATGCAGTATTTGGATTTATTTCTTTTATGCTATTTACCATGCTTTTTCTGCACATTTTATTTCCTACTTTCCTACTGTAATTGTCTTGCTTCAGTTTCAAGGGATAAAATCCATTCTAGATAGTTTAAGACAAAGGGGTTAATGATAGGGTATGACATGGCTTAAGGATTTGTTTAGAACACTGAAGAAGCAGACTACAGGTTGAACATTCAGGAATGACTTTCAGAGCCTTGCTACAGAACTGAGCCACCAAAAGAGCCACTGCCTTTTCTAAAATCAGGAAACCACCTACTGAATTGGCAAGTTGCTGCTATGCTTGCCAGCCCCTGAACTACACAGCTATTGTCATGATAAGAAGCCACAGCAGAAATATGAGACATCTCGACCACAGTACTCACATGCAGAAGCAGCACACGCATAATATCTGCTTCACTGCCACCTTCCAAATCTCATAGGAGAGGAAATTTGGTTGGAAGAACCAAAATCACATCCAGACTTCTAGCTGCAAGGACGCCTGGGAAATGTAGTTTTAGCCTTCCAGCTTCTGCAACATGTTTATTGTCCGTTGCCTTCGGGTCGATTCAGACTCATAGTGACCCCACGTGTGTTGGAGTAGAACTGTGCTCCATATGGTTTTCCAGGCTGTGACCTTTTGGAAGTAGATCGCCAAGAGTGTCTTCCGAGGGGCCTCTCGGTGGTTTTGAACTGCCAGCCTTTTGGCTAGTAGTCGAGGGCTTAACCATTTGTGCCGCCCAGCCCCTCCTCTGCAACATAAGAAGGCACAGTGGAAGGACATTCAGATGGGTGTTGAGCTAAATCCACCATATCTATCCACCCATTCAGGTATCTGTCATTTCTGCATTCTACTGGACTGAGTATTTTTTATTTCCTTTTTTTCTCTTAACTGATTTTGAAGGTGTTCATTCTATTTTTTTTCTTTTCATATCTAACTTAATCATTTTAAATATATATTCACCCCTCCCCCCACCCCCGGAATGCCAAATGATACAGACACATTTGAAAACAGTTTGGAAATTGTTTATCCTGTTTATCCAGTTAAACATACACTTACCATATGTCCCAGCAAATGCATTCTTCTTTTTTTTTTTTAATTGTGTTTTAAAGTTTACAGAGCAAATTAGTTTCTAATACGCGTATTGTTTCATGACATTGGTTGCCAACCCTGCAACGTATCGTCAGTCTCCCCTTCTCGACCTCGGGTTCCCCATTTCCATTCGTCCAGCTTTCCTGTCCTTGCCTGCCTTCTCATCTTTGCCCCTGGGGTGGTGTGCCCATTTAGTGTCTTATACATTGCTTGTTTTACAGGCCTGTCTAATCTTTGGCTAAAGGGTGAACCTCAGGAGTAGCTTCAATACTGCGATAAAAGGGTGACTGGGGGTTATATTTTTTAATCACGTTAATACATGTTAATTTTTTAAGAAGTGAAACAGTTTTACAAACTTATCATTTTAAAAACTGGTCATTCCCAATGTCCACTATAAATAGTAAGTTTATCCTGCTGTTTTATGATTTTTTTTTTTTTTTTCACTTTAGATGTTAAGTGTTGATTTCCTGTTATGGAAGAGGAAGAATTGGCTATTTTCTACTCCAGTAAAAACAATTTTCACTTGCCCCCATTCTTTCAACGTAGTGATAGGATAATTTTTGGTCGAGTCAATGTTTAGTGTTTCCATAGTGTACTATAGTTCCATTTTTGTACAATTTTTTTATTTTTCTTGGAGTTAAAATTTACCTCTTTTTTGTTTGTTTGCTTATGTTTCTTTCTACAAATTCTTTCCCACACTCTCCGACAGAACTGTGAAATTTCTCTCCATGTGATCGAACACATTACAGAATCTATCAATGGTCAGTTTTCTGGGGGAAACTTCTTTCCTGGAGCCCTCTGCCTTCTTGTTACAACCCAGACTGGTTCCTCTCCAGGCCTATGATGTATACTGCTATAGTGTTGACTCTCGCCTCATCATGATCCTGAGAAGACCTTTCATCCCTTATATTCTGACCCCTGCAAAACAGGTTGTCTCCTATCTTCCTCTGTATCTTCATTTTGGTAGAGTACATTCTCCAATATTTTCCTAATGAGAAGGGCACATAAAAAGGTAAAATCTTTGAGAGTGAGTGTGTGTGTGACATGTTTTTATTTTACCCTCATACTTGACTGATAGTTTGTCCAAGAATCGTAAGCTTCACTGGCAGTTCTTTCACTTAGAATTTTGAAGGCATTGCTTCATTGTTTTCTCGCTTCCAGTGTTGCTATTGGGAAGGC